CTGTTAGTGTGGTGAGTGAGTGGGTGAGTGAGTGAGTTGGTGAGTGAGTAGGTGGGTAAGTGAGTGAGTGAGTTGGTGAGTGAGTAGGTGGGTGAGTGAGTGAGTTGGTGAGTGAGTAGGTGGGTGAGTGAGTGAGTAGGTGGGTGAGTGAGTGAGTGGGTGAGTGAGTAGGTGGGTGAGTGAGTGAGTGAGTAGGTGAGTGAGTAGGTGGGTGAGTGAGTGAGTAGGTGAGTGAGTAGGTGGGTGAGTGAGTGAATGGGTGAGTGGGTGGGTGGGTGAGTGAGTGGGTGAGTCGGTGGGTGAGTGGGTCAGTGGGTGAGTGGGTTAGTGATATAGTGGGTGAGTGTTTGAGTTGGTGGGTGAGTGAGTGGGTGAGGGAGTGAGTGGGTGAGTGAGTAGGTGGGTGAGTGAGTGAGTGAATGAGTGAGTGGGTGTGTGGATGGGTGAATGAGTGAGTGAGTGGGTGAGGGGGTGAGGAGGTGGGAGAGTGAGTGGGTGAATGAGTGAGTGGATGGGTGAATGAGTGAGTGAGTGGGTGAGGGGGTGAGGAGGTGTGTGTTGTTATGGCATTTCGTGTTGCGTGCACTGCACGGGAATTGAATCGAGTTCAATTCCCGCTCAGTACCCAATAACAGTGGCGAATATCTGAGCCGGTCCTGGGTCACCTCTTGGTTGACTCAGCCTTAAATGAGAAGCTGGTGCCGTGTTTCAACACGGCACAGGACGTGGCATTCCCCGCCGACCTCGTGTCATGTGCCCTGCCGGCCTTGTTGGGTGCGTACAAACAGCACTTACCCCAACAGCCGACGACGGCTATACGGGGGAACTTTGTCTTATCGTCGCGAGCGGCAGCGTGGGGATTGAGCTCAGTGTGGATGCGAGAGGGAGCTGCCTGGCGGACCGATTCCTCGGCATGTGCGGCAGATGAGGAAGAACCGGAGGGGTCAGCGTTTGACCGGCAATGACCGTGACAACAACAAAAACAATCTATATAGTCACAGTATTAATCATCATCATCACCACATTCTCTGCAGGTGAAGACTTTAGTACATTTCGATTTAAAGCTTTCGTGACTGCAATGATTCATCTTCTTTGGTTCTTTCGGTAAAGTCACGTAGAATGAGAATAAAATAATAAATTGATAAAATAGAATAACACAATAATATTCTCACGACGTTTCGGCCACAACACAAGCGGCCTTCATCAGGTGAAGGACGAGACTCCAGCGCTGTCCTACCAGACAGTCTCGTCCCTTCACCTGATGAAGGCCGCTTGTGTTGTGGCCGAAACGTCGTGAGAATATTATTGTGTTATTTTATTTTATCAATTTATTATTTTATTCTCATTCTACGTGACTTTGCCGAAAGAACCAAAGCAGACTTTAGTACACTTCACTGTCACCGGCCTCTGCAGACAAAGTTTCCCAGCAGCCTTAGTTTACGCGGGTCGACTCTAAGACCGGCTTCGACTTTTCGAATCTTCATCAGCGGAGTCAGGCCAGCTTAGCAGCTGCCGTTGCATTGCCAGATGACCATAATCGTCATCAGCCATGGTCAATCCACTGCTAGACGAAGGCCTCTCCAAGCTCCCGCACCTCCGACTAACACGGTTGGCGACGTACGGTGCGAAAGAAATTCAAGACAGTGCATGCATCGATCCTGCGATGTAACAATCCATCCAGCACCCTGCACGTGAACCGATTTCATCGCTCCATCTCCACGTCGGTCTCCCTCCTCTCGGCTGCCACTCCGCTCTGACTCTCGACCACAGGCGGTGTTTGTGACGTCACGGAGGATCCCCGCTAAACGCAAGAGTGAACGCACGAGGAACTAAAGTGCCTCTCGGATTAAACGATACACAGCACAGGCACGCATGCTAATCCACTGCTGGATGAATGTCTCTCCCCCCCCCCCCCCAAGACCAACACCGAGTGGGGTGGCCCTCATCCCAGAGTGCAAAGAGGGCCATTACCCGAACCGTCGGCTGTTATATATATATTTTACTTTTTAGGGCAGCGGTGTTAACAAACATCCGGGTCAATGAAGGGCAGGGAGCGGCCCGATATCACTCGCCACAGACGTTGGCCGTGATCGCGAATCGAACTCAGACGGGTTCGGAGCGCACGCAGCACGCCACTTTAGGCGCCGTGGTGATTCACCTGCGGATGACTTTCCGAGTGTGAGTGTGAAATAAATTACAGATTGCTTGTTACGTGAAATCATCATAATAATGACAATGATGTGTAGGGTTAGTGTGGGCGGTGTCGTGGTCCGTGGAGATTGCATCTCCGGTCTAAAAAAAGATTCTGGTGCTGATCTTTCGCCATCGCTGAGGAGGAACCGTGGATACGTGGCAGTGAGAAGGCAGCAGCAGCAGCAAGCCAGGCAGTGAGAAGTCGGCGCTACCAACAATTTCCCAAGTTCTGCTGTCCTCTATGTTAAGATGTTTTCAGACAATCAAGGCGTGTTTACAGACGGAGAAGGAGGAGGAAACCGGAGGACCCACGAGAGATCCCCGCGTGTTAGGGCTGACAGCAACACTCAATACCCGCACTGATTGTTGGGGCTGGCGGGGGGAGGGAATCGGCAGTCACGTGGGGGGGGGGGGGAATTCACGCAGCAGAGAGGCCAGTAGCAGCAGTCATGGGTGGAGCAGCAGCAGCAGGAGTCGTCCTGCTGCTGCTGCTAGCGCACTCCACGGTACCGACAGCCCCCAAAACACATTCGCCAATAACCCGGCCCCCAATGAGGAGCCTCCCCCCCCCCCCCCCCCGGAGAGCAAGAGGCACCTCAAACCTGTGCACGGTGCTGGTAAAGTTATGCACAGATCCGGTCGCTCACACAGACACGCAGTTACAGGACCACGAGACGCTTTGGTTCTATATTTAACTTCTTTCGCACAGTACGTAGCCAACCGTGCTAATCGGAGGTGCGGGAAAGGTGCAGGGAGAAGAGTGCATCTTAGAATGCGGGCGCTGCGGGCAATTGGCCGTTCTGCATTGGCACAGAAATCCATATCTCTGCTCGCAAGAACGGCCCGTTGCCCGAAACGTCGCTTAGTATGTACTGTGCGTGTTCTTCACTCGGGCAGTGTAGGGGAGACGCGTGGTGGTGTTTGTTGTTGTTCCGCGTCGCTCTCGCACTGTGGCCGTGACTCTCACACGGAGACTCGCTCTTGGTCGTGAGCTCGGAATGATCTTTAACGTCCAGGGAGCGCTTTGGTGATTCCCGCATGAAGCCGCACGGTGAACCCGGCCGGGAACTGCCACGGCGGCGGGGAACGGTTCGATTCCATCTCCCGGCACGGCAGTGTGAAACACCCTGTCCCCTCCCCTGCCACCGCCTCTGTCCACCCAGGAGCTGCACAAATGGGTTCATCACCACTACGAAGCCGATTGGCACGTCACGTGTTACGGTGGGGGTAAAGTGTGGGCAACTCCCAGCCCCCTACCACCAACGCGTCTGGTCCGGCGTGGAAGAGCAAATTCCATCCTAGGCCTCCGTCTCGCGGAAGGCCCCCTTCGCTCCAGCAGCGGAGTGAGCGAGCACTTGCAGGGCTGCGCCTTTGCCTGCTTCTCAATGTGCGGCTCGCGCCCTTGGGCGATGTCGCGCTCGGGTCACAAGGGTAGAGGGCTGCGTGCTGAGATCGCAAAGTAAAGCGGTGACGGTTCAGGGGTCTCAGGCGGCGGAGCGGCCCGGCTGAGTAGTGCCCACGGTGCGTGATTGGCGCTCACATGGCCATGGGAGTATAGGAGACAGTGATAGAGGGGACAGTTATGTAGGGGACAGTTATATAGGAGACAGTTATATAGGGGACAGTTATATGAGATTACTATTGATAGGCGTACCTTGTACTCGAGTGGAAGTACCTTACGTCGCATTGGGGAAATCTCGAGTGGTGAATGAGTCCCTGGGCATGAGAAGTCACGGCAACACCCCGGGTGGACCAGCGCATGACAGCCAAGCAGAGTCACGCGCCCTCTCTGTGACACGGATCGGCGGTGCGCGGGACGCGTATTGGGCACGCGGTGCTCGGTACGGGTGCCCAGTGCCCCGGGCTGTTTACTGGAGGAGTCGCAGAGACGGCGACCGCGCTCCTCGTGTGTCCCTACCGGGGGTCCCACGGGGGTCCCACGGGGGTCCCACGGGGGTCCCACGGGCTCTCACGCTCATCTCTGCCTGCAACCCTGCCCCCTGCTCTTCGCGAGTCCACAGCCGCGAGACTCGCAATGGCGCTCACGGCTCAGTTGTTCAACTGCACGGGGAGGAGGGCGCCTCACCCCAGGCACAGTCCGCACGGAGTAGCGCGCTTCGCGCACTCACGGAGCACGCTAACGGCCCACGCGAGCTCACAACCACTGCGGGCTGACGCCGCGCGCTGGCACCGCGCGCTAACACCCTCCGTCGTTGAACGCCGCGCGCGTACAGCCCACACGAGCTCACATCCTGCGCGCGCTATAACCTTCAGCAAGCGGACTAACTCCGCGTACGAACGCTGTCCCCCGGGGACGGACAGGGGCTGCTGGTGACGCCAGCGAGGAGCGGCAGCGTGTCGCACTCACGGCGCGCGGGACCCCTTCTCTCCTATGCCCCCCACCCCTGGGGTCCCGCGCGGCGTCGTCGCCACCCCCCCCCCCCCCCGCACCCCGGCACCGTACTCGGCGTGACCCGAGTCCCGTCGGGAGTTCTGAGCGCGACCCTCGCGTCGTGCGTAGCGACTTCCACGAGAGATCGCGCGACCGTGGCGCGCTCGGCGTCATGCGCCTTTGCGCGGGGTGCGGCGCTCTCTCGCTCTCCCCTCTGACGTTCTCCCCTCTGACGCTCTCCCGTCGCTTCGCCGCTGCACCGCATTCCGGCGCCTCGACCGGGGCCCCGCAGCCCGGCAGCCACACGCAGTTGCGGAGGAAAAGGAAATTTAGCGGCGAAGGAGGAGGAGTGGGAAATGGGAATCATCGGCGCGTCGCCTCCTCCGGCGCCCCGCGCGCGCGCGGCGCATCTCACCTTCACCGGGGTGTCCATCCTCTCCTCCTCGCGCTCCTCCTCCTCCTCCTCCTCACGGGCGCCGCATAGGAGCTCGCCCCTTACCTAATTAGCCCGCAATTGTTGGCGACGACAAATGTAACCGGATGAATTTTCTCTCGTTTTGGGAAGTGAGGTCACGCGTCTTGGAGGAATCCCTTCCTATTGGCTGCCGACGCGTGGCTCGGCGCGAACCCAGCCCGCAGCCGCGCCCGGCCCTGGGGACACGGCGCTCTGGCACCACCCGGCAACACCCAGCAGAGTCCAGCCTCGCAGCAGCGAGACACCCACACGCCGAACCACCCAGCAGCAGCGTGCACAGCACCTGGCACCCAGCCCCACCGAGAGAGCCAACCTCACAGCACCCCGCACCACTCCAGCCTCACAGCATCCAGACCCCACAGACCCAATCACCAAACTCCCAGCACTCAGCACCCTGCGCCAACATCACCCAAAACCCAGCACCCCAAGACATCCCTCGACGCCGGTGCCCACTCGCCCAGTGGCACCCAGCCGGGCAACAACGCGCCGGGTTCACAGGGCGGGTGGGGGTCCCAGTGAGCGATCAGCCCGAGCCTCCGCCAGTTCCATATCCAACCCCGACTCGAACTCCACGCAGAGCGCGCAGCAGTGCGGTCACACACGTGGCGCGCGCGGGCGATGCCGCGAGATAGCGCAAGCAGCAGCAGGATCATCGTCAGTAGCAGCAGGATCAGTTCACAAAGTGCCCAGCACACTTATCAGAGGGACCGGGCGCGCTGTGGAGGGAGAGAGAGGAGTGACCTCGCGTGCGCATGAAAGAGCGCGAGGAGCGAGTTGCGAGGTCGTGGTGAGCGCTGCGCCCCGGGGAAAACGCAGCAGAAGCAGCGGCAACAGCGGCGTCGCCCTCCGCCACAACGGCGCGCGGTGCTCGGATCGGGTCATTCTCTCTGCGCGCACATCGCGAACGACATCGCGGCGACCGTCAAGCGAAGTGAGCGGAGCTGGGGCAGCGCGCGCGTCACGGCTACACGGGGCGACGCCGGTCAACAAATGGCAACGGAGCGGCAGCCACAAAAGCGAACGCGTTCCTGGAGTTCCACAAACGTGGAGACGGAGCGAGGAAATCTGTTCGTGGGCGCAGATACCACCGGGTGGATTGATTTCACCGTAGGGTCGCAAGAGGTGGCGGCTACGGCTTGGGAGAGGCCTTCATCCAGCAGTGGAGCTGTGATGATTATTGCCCACGTCACAGCGTGGGTGTTCATGTGAAATTCGCCTGGGTGAGGAGCGCCTGGTTGAGGCGACTTTGCAGACTGCAGTCTGCGTGCAGCGGAGTCACATCTTCCAGACGTCATTACCAAAAAAGTCTCCGTTGTTGATGTTGTTGATGTCGTCGTTGGTTTAAACTAAAAAAAAACACACCCCGATGTGCGTCAAGTCCTTACCCGGTGAGCGGCGCGAACAATCGCAGTTAGTCGAGATGTGGAGCGCGCTCCCTGGCCAAGGTGGCAGGGAGCAGGGAGAGAGGGTGGGGGGGGGTGATGATTGTGTCCCGGGGACTCCCGCACGCAGACTCCGGGGCTGGAGCTCTCCGCGCCGCCTGCGCGCCTCCTCAGCTCGCAGCAGCAGCAGCAGCTGCTGCCTGCCAGCTCTTGGCAAGCGGCTGCACGGGACTGCGTTGTTATTATTACAGCCATATTAGTCTGGGACCACTCTTGAGATCGCGTCTCAAACGTGATCAGACGGTTGCGAGGGCGTTTAATCATTCCTGGGGCGCTCGCCCGCCAGCCCGCCCGCCCACCCACTCGCCTCTCGGTATTTCTCCGGGTCTGTGTGTATGTCTGCTTCTACGCGTGGGTATACGCGTGTGTGTGTGTATGTGTGCGTGTGTGTGTATGTGTGTATATGTGTGCGTGTGTGTATGTGTGCGTGTGTGTGCCGCACAGACGGGGAACATATCTGGAAGCTGCTGAACGAATTCCGCCGTCTGTGTTTTGCTATCCCAGCCCTGACCCGGCGCGCTGTCTGGCAATAATTCGCATCAAGTGCTGCGCAACACAACCACGTGTGGAGGCACCGCGGCGCGCGGGGAGAGGAAACGCGTTTGAGATGTCACACCGCCTCCCTTGGCTCTATCCACTGCTGGATGAAGGCCGCCTCCCCAAATCCTGCGATGCGCGAATTCTAGCTGCCGCACCACGGACTGATTTCATTGCTCCGTCTCCTCGATGGGGGTTGTGCTCTCGGACGCGTTCCGTTCCTCGACTGCCGCTCCGTGACAGTTTTTGACCATCGGCCAATCGTCCCCGTGTAGCCGTGACGCCTCCTGCCCAACTCCCCCTCACTCTCCGTGACAGTCAAGGATGATGACCGCGTTCTCTCTAATCCGTGTGCTCCTCTCTCGCTGTCTATCAGTGCGAGCATCCCAGGCGTGCGGTGTCTCCACGCTTCTTTGCGGCCCTTTCACTCTGCGCTCTCCAGTCGCAGTGATCCCGTGCCTCGCGAGAGCACGCGGCACGCACTGTTGTGATACCTTTCATCGACAATCATACTTACCATCCCATTATCACAATCATAATAACATAATAATCCCATTATTACAATCATAATGACAATCCCAATATCACAATCATAACAATACCAGTATCACAATAATATTATCACAATCACAATTCCATTATTACAATCGTAATAACAATCTCATTATCACAGTCATATTAACAATCCCACTATCACAATCATAATAACAATACTATTATCACAATCATATTAACAATACCAGTATCACAATCATCATTACATCATCATTATAATAATACCACTTATTGCAGTTCGTCGATCGGTACCAATACATTTCAGAAGTGCTCCTCTATCTTTACAGCCCTTCTAATACTACAGTCCCTGTGTCGGTCTTGGCGATTTTTGACCATACTTCACCACGCCGGCCAGTGCGGGTTGATGAGCTGATTGCCTATAGGACCGGTTAACATGTCACTCGCCACTTGTATGTCAGCCGTTGATGGGAATCGAACTCGAGTGGGGCCGTTTTCGTGACCGACGTCCCAGAGGGCACTCACGACGGCCGAGCCGTAGCCTTCGCAGCGCTGAGCACTTCAGTGACGTTAATAGATCTCCCCAGCAGAGAGGCTACGGGGCAGTGGAATGCGTAAAACCACACCGGTGAGGTGTCTACGTGCGGAGCACGGACGCGTGAAGGAGGCGTGCGGTCTGCGTTATCTTGTCACCGAACACTCTACAGAACGACGCCAACGCCTATCGCATTGTGCGGTCCGTGCAATCATTTAGCAACTCCCACAGCCAGAGCCGTCCCTCGGGTACGGCGAATCGGGGGTGACCGACCCGGGTCCCGCGCTATGGGGGGGTGGGCGCGGCGTGCTTCGACGTCACGGCGTCAGATGGAATACTTCGTGTTTAGTTTGGAGGCATCGGGGGGTCCTGCCTTGCCGCCCACCCCTCCCCGCGGTGGACAAAGCTACCAGTTGGGGCCTCCTTGACAACCACCATGAAATTTGCTTTCAACAACAGTGTAAAAGAACAAGAACATTTATGGAATGATGTGATTAGGCAAGAGGAGGTGCGATATATGATAGTCGAGGTGCGACCCTGTGAGACAAATCACGGTGGCTAGGAGATGTGAACTACTTCGCCTGGTATATAGGAGGACGTGGGTTTGATCCCGACCCTGATGCCTGCTGTATATTTGGAGTTTGCGTGTCTCTCTCTCTCCGTGGTCGTGTGGCTTTTGTTTCTCCGGATCCTTCGGATTTTTCCTCCACACTTTCGGCTGCTATTAATTTCGCTTCTGAAAAAGAGCTATATAGCTCAGTGGGCCCTACCTGGTTTAAAAAAAAAGTGTTTATAGTTTTAAATATTGGGACTTCACCTGACCGATTGCCGCACCCCCCTGAGCTGACAATGTGGCTACTGCGCCAATGCCGCATCCCCCCTATGGACAGTCCTGCCCACACAGCCTTCGGACTGGAGCAGCGAGTGTATCATCAGGGCCGAGTGAGTGCCAGCTCGATCCGCGGCGCCAAGCGGGGCTCGCGTGCACGTGGATGGAGGTCGGCACGTACCCTCTGCTGTACGTATGTGTGTATGTATGTCCGGCAAAACAAACCCCTACGTCCTCGTTGGTGCTGGACGGCAACGCTGTGGTGAGCAGTGCCATGTGGGGAGGGCCTATTTAGAGTGACCATTCCCCTTATGGCGTTCGTAGCCACCACAGCGGCCAAATGGGGGCTCTGGATGGATGCGAGGCGCTGGTAACCCCCTCACCTTCAAATCAATTACCACAATACCACGGAAAAAATATCAAACAAAGATTTTGCCGGAGGCCCCGGGGGGACAGGCGTCTATGACGTCTCCTGGCTAAACCCCATTCAGCGGAGCCAGGAGACTGAATGCTTACCCTTGGGGTTCCTTCAGACACAGCAAAAAGTCACTGCGGGTGGCCACGTGGAATGTTCAAATGCTCACTGCGGAGGAGAGGCTGCCACTCCTCTGTCGGGAGCTGGACCAGTACCGTCTGGATCTATGTGGTATTCAGGAGGTCCGGTGGACCGGCTCTGGCTCCTGCCACCATGAGGGGTGGACAGTCCTCTTCTCGGGGCAGGAGACTGCCAAACAACAGGGAGTGGCTCTTCTTCTGAACAAAATAATAAAGGGGATGTGGGAGTGTGGCGGTGAGGTGTGGGAAGCTGTAAGCCGCAGGCTACTTTAGGCTCGCCTTTCCATCGACCAGAGGCGAGGAGTGGTGGTCGTGGTTACTTATGCCCCCACCGAAGACGAACACCCGTGGAGGGATGCAGGCAAGGCCGATGAGTCGGATGCCTTTTATGACCTCCTGTCACAAGTGCTAGCTAAAATGGCCTCTCGAGATAGAGTGATCCTGCTGGGTGACTTTAATGCCCGAGTTGGTCATGATGCTGGCACCTGGTCTGGAGTGATTGGAAGGAATGGGTCAGATCAGCTCAATAACAACGGCAGGAAGCTGCTAGATTTTTGTGCAGCCCATGGGCTTGTAATTACCAACACGCTGTTCTGGCATCGGCACATCCACACACCACCATGGATGTATGCCGGGTCCAAGCAAGGACATCTGCTGGACTACATAGTGACAAAACAGCAGATGCGGGCCCATGTCCTTGACACCAGGACCTACCGTGGTGCTGATCTGCCCACTGACCATCGACTTGTCATCTGTAAGATGCGCTTGCCATTCTTCCACTCCGGTGGTGGGTGTACACCCAGGACCCCATTCAAAC